TTCTTACATACTTTATACTAATAATTGCAATTATTTTAAAACAACTTTTTTAAATTATTACAGAAAAAGACATAAAATTACTCCGTATAGGCTACACTAAAGTTTATTGTAGCTATCTTGCTAATCAATTTAAGATAATACAAAACATTTAAAAATTTTGAAGTATTTTTTGACAATCGCAAATTAAACATAAAATATTTGTAAACATGCAACTTTTTGCTATATCGTACAATTATTAAAGATATACAATATATTCCCACGAGACAAAGGTTTTTGTCAGAATTGACAACAAAACTTAACGGTATGTTATTTACTACAATCTACACGCTAACATACAATATCAACATGACCCATTTCGGCAAATTAAATCTGCCCCCTTATGGCTCGTACGTTCGTGACATCACGTCAAGCCAATCCCAAAACGGGAAAAGTCTGAAGGTCAAATATAAGAACATTGTAAATATACCGCAATAATTAGATATCAGAATGACATATTGATCAATAGGCATGATGTCTATTCCTTATTAATCCTCTGAACTATTTTGAAGGTAATGGTAACTGCGCTCTGAGTTTCCATTGTAACAAATTCACCAGTAGATAATATAAATGGTTTCCAGTATTGACCATGTAAAGAATGACCTGATACATTATACTGCAATGGGGCTGCTAATTCTCTGTACTAACAATCATCCCTCGGTACTTCGCTTCTGACATGTTTGCGAGAGTTAGAAAACTACAAGTTCAAACACAGTAGGTATGTTTAATTGATAAATACGTAACATCTGGTTTAGACTTCTCGGGATAATTCATTTAAACAACGTTATAACAGGAAAGTAGTAGGTGGGAAAGTATTTCATGAATTAATTTTAATTTTAGAATCTACAACCATTTCATTGTACCAATAAACACAACATTAGAATTCTGAATGAAACTGTAATTTTTCTCTTGATTTTAACTTTTAAAGAGAATATATAAGAAGATAATTCTTGCTTATTTTCTGTCATTTACTTCATTATTAAGCGACTTCAAAACGAGATATTTCTTAATTTACCTATTGTATCTTTATATTATATCTTTTGTATGTATATTATACTTGGATCAATCGTATACCAATTTTAAAAAAGGAAACTCTGGAAAATATCGTGCTTAATTCCACGTGACTTCATCACAATGGGCTAAATGACCTGCCTTTTCAACCTCGCCTATCATCATTCACTAGTAATCTGCCCGCATATACCGTTAACGAAGGCGAGGGTTACCATTCCATTATCACCCATTAAATAAAAAATTTACATGTCGTAGGCTTCCTCTTTTTACAAAAAAGTCGCACCCAGACATAAAGCCTACACTTTAATACAGGAAGGCTCTACACCATAGACGTAGTATAATGTCCTGAAATACTTAAAAACTAGCAATGCAATTACAAAAAAGGGACAAGAAAATGTGTGACACTAGTGTGCGTATTATATTGTTAAAATGCACAATGAGACAGTTCTGAATTTTTATGAAAATGATGTTGCAAAAATTCACGTATTTATTATTATTTTTATTTCAATCCGTAGACTTTCAGAACTTTATTTCAATTAAATTAGATATCTTTTCTATCAATCCATGTACAAAACATTTCTGTTGGTTTTATATGATTGCTTTTAAAATGAGATAAATGTTTACAGCGTAATTACATGAAAAATGTATTCATTAAAACTAATTACGCTAAAAAATAAAAAAAAATTAGAATTTATTTTGTTTATATTCCCGCCAAATCAGCTTCGAGCTTATATTGAACGTTCTACTGTTCTATCTCGTTCCAACATATACATTATCATGTGTCTTCTCTTTTACATTACCAATCTATATACTTTATAACCTAAACTCTACACTAAAATAAACACAGCTAGAAAATCGGTAAATCAAAATCGACCATTCGCGAATGGACGAAAACCACATGTTTAACACCTGCGATCCTATTATCGTACTCGTTACATTATATTTTCTGAGCCGTTTTCTAAATAACGAGGGTTCAAACAAGGGCGTGTCAACGACCTAGCCGCACCCGAATGTCGCCCATTACTTTGATTTTCGCGTGAAGTTATAAACACATTTTTTCGTTCATGTCAGTTGGGAATGAGAATAAAATGCGTATGTGATGAGCAAGCGTGTGTCAAAGTCAATTACATTTCTGTATTTGTATTGTATTAAAATTATACAAGTTTTTTTTAAGGTGCGAGAAGGCGCGTGGCGCTGAGATGATGATTGAGGAAGAAAGGAAATCACTTATCCCAACGTGACAATTTCTACAAGAATATTTCCAGGTGGCACCGCGTAGATGTTGACTTGATAGGATATATTGCTAGGCATAGAGCTATTAGACTTAATCGCTAACAGTCCCTCTCGCTCATGTTTTACAGGGCAGTCTGATTCCAATGATTCTTTTTCGCTACATATCACATTCGAAGTTTGTTCCATTTAAATAAAAAAAAACATAATCTCCCATTTTCGTAAAAGACATTAGAATTTGTAAATTGTAAAACTATAATTAATTTTTATAGTTCGGCACCATAAAAATATTAAGTATTATCAAAAATTATTCTATTCTGTAAAGACGTTTATATATTCGGCTGAATAAAATTTAGTATACAAATAGAATATTTCCTTACATACACATAACATACTTCCATTCTAAATCACGTAATGATTGAGACTTTGACCACCATCAGAAAAAAAAGACGTTTTGTAAGTTTTAAAAGTTTATCAGTATCTCTATGTCTGTGTAAATATAGGTGGCATGGGATAATTTAAAAGTAAACTCTTATATAAATAATTATGGAATCGGTCACAGTTTATTGCATAAAGATGCGTAAACACAACGTATGTAGCTTTTATTAACCTTGGCGGTTCCGCAGTAGGCCGATTACCTTGACCACACCACAATACAAGTAATAATGAAACATCGCTATCGTAAAGCGAGAAACCGTCATTTTCGAGGAGTCCAAAGAAATCGACTTCAAAATGTATACTGTATGATATGTCTACTGTGTTATACATATGTAATAATACAATTTGTTTCACCAATTCCAAATTATGTTATCAAATATATATATATATATATATATATATATATATATATATATATATATATATATATATATATATATATATATAAGTTTGTATTGAATATATTTTCCTTTTAATCGAAAGAAATTATTTGGAACTTACGTTGTCTTTTTATTCCATATTAACTTTGTTAAGATTGGACTGTATTTTATCAGATCATTAAGAGACCAATTATTTTTAATAAATGAGGATGGTATAACATGCCCGCCTATGTCGACTTGGCAAAATAATATTGCTAAGCTATACATATTGTAATAATAGATATATTTCGCAGTTTTACCTGCGTAAGTATAGGATATTCAAACAGATATGGTCCACGTATCTTTCACACAAATCCGTCCAGCCCTTTAGGCATGATTGAGCAATAAATGTCCAAACGTCTCAACAAGCAAATATCTTTACAAATCCCATATCTATAGGCATTCAACATCACAATAGGATTTCGACTTTCTATAAAAAAAAATATCTTTACCAATAAGTATTTTTTATTATTAAAAGTTTCGTAAGTACATATTTTATTTTAAGAATTGTATGGACCATAACTAAGAAACTAAGGGATGAATTCCCAGGTGGCCCCGAAACTAGTCATCGTTTTTACACAAAAATATTACAAACCCGAAATCCAATACTTTTATTAGATTTCGGATTTGTAATTTGTATATCCTTTCCGACTAATCTTGAATAATAAAATACCTACAGCCCGAGTGAGAACTACGCCACCTAATAAAACTAAGGTCCTATTTTCTTATCGGTTCTATTAATACCTAGAATCCAATTTCCATCACATTCCGAATTGTTGAGCATTCTCCGAAGACACGCACGGTGGCAGTGAGCGGAAAATAACGTAAAATTGGATTCACGCTCCGGAGTAAATGTCCGGCCTTACGTGGCTTAAGACATGTGATAACTGTCTGGTAGATGGCTAAGGCGACGAATGGACATATATTTAAATATATATCACAAATATTTGTTCACCTAAGTATGTTCAAAAGAGCTTACTTGTACTCAAACTAAATTGTCTCAGAAATTCTACATGAAATTTATGTAAAAAAAATTTAGAGGACGGAACTGCACTGCGTGTAAGTAGATAAATATTTATTGAGTGAGTAAAGAAATATTTATTTAGGTATGTACTTGAGTCATCTCTTCAATCGCTATCTACGTTTGTTTCCAATATCGAACGCATTAGGGTTGTGTTTTCCACAAACTTTCTGTTGTTATTTTTAACAATTTTTTTTTTTATTTTATATACCTTTTTTTTTAACTTAGAATGGCAAACAAAATGACGGTCCACCTGATTGAAAATGGTTATCGTCGCCTATGGACATAACAGTACCTTGGACATAACAGTGTATACTGTATCGCCCATGATATCCTTCATGCATTGCTATTTCTGAAGACTAAGGAGGACTGATATGCCTCTGTATCCTGTAATTTTAGTGCCATATTCCACCATTCAAAGCGAAAAAGCATAGCCATGCAAACGTAACTGCTTCATGGCAGAAACACGAATGGGGCAGATGTACCCGAGATAGTTGCAACAAGTTAATTTGAATATCAATTTTTAAAAGCTTACTGGCAACCGATTAAGGTGAATCTTAGTAAACTGAGTCTAAGCTTTGTAAAATAAATTCAATATTATTATACAACCGGTCCTACTATCGAAGAGGAAAGCAAAACAGTACGAGTACATCCTTGTAGAGCTTAAGCTCTTAATTTGTCTCGATGATTGTATGGTAGATATTGTTCATTATCAGATTACGTAGCTTGAAGGGCTCATAAGATTAACTTATAAAAAAATAATTTAATTAAAAAGTAAAATAAACTAAATAATAATGCATTAATAATCAAATTATAAATAAAGAAAATAAAAAATAAAAACTTACAAGTAGACACCATGAAGAAATTAAAAAAAAAACTGGAACTAAACAAAACTTGCTATATCTCCAGCTCCTGTAATAAAAAGAAAATAAAAAAATTAAAGAAAAAATAATTCAAAGAAACAGTTCATAATTAAACACACCAGATTTTTTTATGAACCACGGGACAAAAATTATTTGTTATTATTATTAAAAATGTTATAAGTTTGTACAGATCCTAGAAAATTTATACAAGGACCATGTTTAATTCGATTAAAACAAGTTACTGTTAACAAATATAAGAATAGTACAAAATCATTTAAAGTGGTTTAAGTATTTTTTTCTTATGTATTTATTATTATGTATTCTTTAACTTGACAATTGTTATATATAAGGAAAATGAGTGACACATTTCTGTTTCATAATGTAATATAAAAATAACAGCATTATGACAAATAACACAGTACCAATATGTATTGTTACTACAATTTGTGTAATTACTGAATCACTTTGTTACAAATACGTACTTAATTGAGAATTATGTTCCGTAAACACTTCACATTAAGCTCTAAAACAGAACCAATTAAACTGTAGGGTTTCTCTATTTTGTTTACGTCGTTCCAACACCCAACTGTTCGAGTGGCAATCGTGGCAACGAACGTTGCGGTTATCCGTTTTCCTCGTTCTATATTTAAAATCCTTTTATCTGGCGTGCGTCGCCATACCGCCCCGGTCCGGATGCTGCGGTCTCAGTAAAAAAAAAAAAGAAAATGCACCCCGCGGCTCCCAGCCAGATGTGAATGTGACACCGAGTGCAACGAGATATCGAACCCCAGGGATGTGCCATTATCTCTTTATTCTGCACTCAACAGAGGACCCATGAAATGTAGTATGTACTACTTATTCCCCGTGACTTTGTCTCAATATCATCATAACAGTTCATGAAGATACCACTAGTGTATTCTTTGATTGGATGTATTAACACAGAAACACTCTTTAGATGAAATTAGTAATAAATCGAAATATCCAATTAATTCATCTATTTAACATAAACACTTTCTGATTATGATCCAAAATAGTTTAAGAGTGTAGGCATGTTAAATGTAATCTATACTAGTATAAAAAGCAAAAGAATTTGTTTGTTTGTTTAAAGGCGAATCTCTGAAACTACCTGTTTAATTTGAAGAATCTTTTTTAGGTTTAATAGCTCATTTCTTGAGGAAGGTTATAGATAACGTCATGACACGATCACGAGCGAAGCTGCGAGGTACAACTAGTCATAATTATTGTATAAAACTGAGTGATTAGTATAATAAATGAAAAAACTCCATTCTCGTAATATTCTTATAATAGTTGAATATACATTTAATAATTGTATTTAGTATTAATATAAACCTACGTGGTTTTTGTTTTCTGTAATTCTATATTTTTTGTAATAATAATTAAAATATAATTACGATATATGAGTATAACGCACATGGGTTTATTTTTTAAGGGATAAGAATGGAACGGTCATGTATCATTCCTCACTGATATCCTGCTAACCTAGACTAACAGCACTAGCAGGATTACCATTCCATTTTCATCCATTAAAGCATGAGAATAAGGACTGTATTTATTATACCTTAAAAAATACTCTAGAATAGAGAAACAATTTTATTGATAAAAACTGTACAATCAACATAACATAAAAAAACTACGTGTATGGATAGTAAGTAACACTGCCAGCTATTTAATTATTAGCAACGGAGCTAGATTTAAATGTCACAGTGTACATTTGACATAAAGTTGGGGTGCCGAAAAGGTCGAGCGTAAATAACTATTTACAATATTTATTTCAGTGTGTGTAGTTAAAACCTAATTTGCTTTTATTTAAGTGTAGGTACATATATTGTTGGGATTATTCTAACAATATTCTTTAAAATACAGTTCACTTGATGGAAAATAGTAAGCGTTGTCTATAGGCATGAACAATATCATGGACATTAGAAAAATACCGTAAAAAGCACTTTACTGAAATAGGAGTTATTTTGCGAAAGTTCATACCACCGGTTATATGCTTAGAATTATTTTGTTTAATTCCGCTACCATCAGTATGTGTGTAACTGTCAGCACTCGAAGATTGACCACCATCATTACTACCAGAAATTCTAAAACCTTCCATATTAGCTATCAATCTCTGACTGCCATTTCGTAGTCATTAATGATTGACACTAGGTTCAAAGAAGCGATCTTATAACTTGCCTGAAGATGTCTCGTTTAAAAGTGAAACTAGTACCGCAAAATGAGCGTGGAGGAAATGATGAGTATCCTAGATTTAGGAACAGACGACTATTTTGATTGTGTTGCCAATTATTGTTTTATTTGTTTTTTTTTTTTTTATTTATTTCATATTTATTTACTTTTGCATTTATGATCGAGAGATGGATAACAGCATCCCTCTTGAAACATAACCAAAACATAATTACGGTTGTCAATCCACCTGCCAAGCATGACAACTACTGGTGAAACCCCCCAGTAAGAAAGGAGGATGTTCAGCAATAGACAGTTAACGACTGATATGATATGATGCATAAGCAAGCTGAAGTGGCAATGGGCTGGTCACATAGCTCGAAGAACCGACAACTGATGGGGAAGAAAGGTTATCGGGTAGTGACCGCGTACGGGTAAACGCAGTGTAGGATGATCCCCCACTAGATGAAGTGATGACCTGAAATGTACTGCAGGGAGTCAGTGGATGCAGGTGGCTCAGAACCGTTCTTTATGGCAGTCTATGGGGGAGGCTTATGGCCAGCAGTGAACGGAAAATGGCTGGAATGATGATGATGACGATATGATGCAATATATAGTATGTACACACGTATTAATATATTTCACTCCACAGTAAACAATTAAATAAAACGTTAGTTTACTCAACTGCGATTACCGCGCAACCAACGCCCATTTAGCAGTTGATGTAAGAATTAACAGAGCAAACATGATAATAGTCATACATATCCAACGCACACTTCACTTCACTAGTCACAATCCGGCTGACTCACTCATGTGCTATGTGATGACTTAATCGTAGTTTACCTGCCCTTTCGGCCTTTAAGTCAATAATTAAATAAGTCAAAATATTTTTAATCATTTTGTTTAATTATTTTGTTTAATTCCGCTACCATCAGTATGTGTGTAACTGTCAGCACTCGAAGATTGACCACCATCATTACTACCAGAAATTCTAAAACCTTCCATATTAGCTATCAATCTCTGACTGCCATTTCGTAGTCATTAATGATTGACACTAGGTTCAAAGAAGCGATCTTATAACTTGCCTGAAGATGTCTCGTTTAAAAGTGAAACTAGTACCGCAAAATGAGCGTGGAGGAAATGATGAGTATCCTAGATTTAGGAACAGACGACTATTTTGATTGTGTTGCCAATTATTGTTTTATTTGTTTTTTTTTTTTTATTTATTTCATATTTATTTACTTTTGCATTTATGATCGAGAGATGGATAACAGCATCCCTCTTGAAACATAACCAAAACATAATTACGGTTGTCAATCCACCTGCCAAGCATGACAACTACTGGTGAAACCCCCCAGTAAGAAAGGAGGATGTTCAGCAATAGACAGTTAACGACTGATATGATATGATGCATAAGCAAGCTGAAGTGGCAATGGGCTGGTCACATAGCTCGAAGAACCGACAACTGATGGGGAAGAAAGGTTATCGGGTAGTGACCGCGTACGGGTAAACGCAGTGTAGGATGATCCCCCACTAGATGAAGTGACGACCTGAAATGTACTGCAGGGAGTCAGTGGATGCAGGTGGCTCAGAACCGTTCTTTATGGCAGTCTATGGGGGAGGCTTATGGCCAGCAGTGAACGGAAAATGGCTGGAATGATGATGATGACGATATGATGCAATATATAGTATGTACACACGTATTAATATATTTCACTCCACAGTAAACAATTAAATAAAACGTTAGTTTACTCAACTGCGATTACCGCGCAACCAACGCCCATTTAGCAGTTGATGTAAGAATTAACAGAGCAAACATGATAATAGTCATACATATCCAACGCACACTTCACTTCACTAGTCACAATCCGGCTGACTCACTCATGTGCTATGTGATGACTTAATCGTAGTTTACCTGCCCTTTCGGCCTTTAAGTCAATAATTAAATAAGTCAAAATATTTTTAATCAAGTAAACTTAATAATAAGCATTTTTCAGTAGACAGTTTTTTTATCTACCGCCCAATTCGGAATACTATAATTTTAGCTAAAAAGAACTGGCAAGAAACACAGCTGTTGCTTTGTTAAAATAAAATGGAAGTTTACAAAAAAAATATGAGTGAATAAGATGACTATCACAAAGTTCGTATTGATAAAAAGAAAAAATAAATAAAAAGCTACCTTTTACAATCCTATCCTTAGTAATATTATAAATTAAAGTTAAATTCCGAAATAAAATATAATACTATACGAAAGTTTAGTTGACAGTCAAAATACATACTCTGGAACTGATTACAAATATATATATATATATATATATATATATATATATATATATATATATATATATATATATATATATATATATATATATATATATAAGTACTGTTCTACAGGATAGGCTCAGCCTAGTGTAGGAATCAATGATAAATTATGTGCTTATTCAAACACACTTTGTTAAATAAATATATCTTTATCTTTAATCAGATTATGAATGGAATCGTCCCTCGTCTACACAAGCGCTAAAGCTTAATAAAATAAAACCGGTCAGGTGCAAGTTATACTTGCACGACGAGGATTTCGTACATACATTTGAGATATTGTTCCATTTTGTCTACACAATAGACACCTAATAATTATTATTATTGATACTGCAATTCATAATTTTGTTATTTTGGGCCATAACTATCGTTACAAACTGGGCCACAATTTTTTAAGGTTTTTTTTTTTTTATAATTTATGAAAAACTAAACGTAGTATTATTACTGTAATATTTGCATATACCCTCATAAATTTTAATTTATCAGATTTTTTGCTTCATAAACTTCGAATTTTTTTTTTTTTACATTTGCCATTATAAGTCA